CAATTCCATTCATAGAATTTTCCAACTGACAATATCTTATTCAATAACATTCCTCTGATAGCCCTTTAATGTAAATGTGTTTTTACAACAGAACTGTATAAATCATTAAAATCAAATTTTTATTCTAGTAAAATAATAGTTAAGTTAATTTAATAATTTACCAAACAGTTTTTGCCCATTATTTACAATACCTGCAATTATCGCATGTTGCCCAATCAAAGTGCTGCATGAGATACGAGTCCATGAAATGTTTGCCACATTCTTCACAAATAAGGTAATCAAATTCTAGTACAGGTCCTAATAGAAGGGAACAAATAATTTGAGTTAGGTAAAGTATTTGGGGTTGATCTTACTAGAGCTTAACATTAATTTACAATGTTGCTTTTATATCGTATATTTAATATGCACTATTCATGTTTTCCCTTCTGCAGAGTTTTCTAAAATTCTGTAGAACAAACTAAGGCTATGATCTTGCAATTGGATCCTTGCAGATGGACCTCTGTCTGTCTGGAGTCCCACTGAAGCCATTTTATCTTTCAAAATAACAAGTAACAGATCCCAAGAATAAAAGTTCTAAAAAGGAGTTCTCCGATTTCAACATTCGAAGTGTATGCATGTGTGCACGTGCACACTCACAGCTTGCAAGAAGGGGTTCTGGTTTAGATTGTTACAGATAGGTCAGATATGGGAAGTGTTCCCTTAACATGGCACCAGGTTAGAGTGGGAGAACATAAAGTTAACCATACAGTACTTTCAATACATTTCTATTTGCTTCAGGCCAAATGAGGAGCTTTATATTTTAGATTTTTTTATTTTTTTTTTAAACCCTAGAAGTGTTGACATTCAAGTATCAGACAATTCTAATTATAGACTCAGATCTGTAGCAGACCTAACCTGGCAAAAATTAAATGTTATCCCAATTTGCATTTTATACTGGAAAGTGTAGGTGCTCAGCATGTCTCAAAATCAAGTTCTAGCATTAGGCTGTGTAATTATTAAACCATACTCCCACTAATTAGTAACAGTATAAAGCTATTTTTATTAGGACAATAATACAGTGAAGTTACCAGTGGTTGAACAGCAATGGCGGAAGTGTAGATGCCCATATCCCAACTATTGAAATTTTAAATATTGGAGCATCTGGGGCAGCACGACTGACAGCTGAGATTCAGTGGCAAAGCCCTGTAGGTTATTACTTGCCCTGCAGCTGATTCAGAATGGAATGAAGCAAGAAGATAACAAAGGAAGAAGTTGGTTTTGCTGGAGGTTTTTATTCATTAATTTAGATGTGGGAAGGGAGAAAATGCAGGTAGGGCTGAAAAGAACATGCATGGGATCCTCCCCAGAAAAGTGTGGGGAAATGATGCAATCTGGAAGCATTTTAACAGCCAAGAAAATAGCACCCATCCCACCCTTCTTCACTTTTGTCATTTAGTTTCATTCCCCGCCTGATAGCCTACCTTCTATCAGGGGACTTGGCCCTTCCCTATTGCTCCTGCCACTTCCTCATGCCTGAATCCATCATTCTTGAGACAGCACCCTTTCTGTGACTGACAAGAAGTGCTGTTAACTATGTAATGGGACACAATGCTGACTTCACTCCTAAGCAAGTACTCCCACAAGTATCAACTGCCAGAATGGTACTACTGGACACCATGGATCAGATCGTCAGCTGTAATAAATTGGTACAGCCCCATTGTTGACTAATATATGCTGGTTAGTATATAAATATTATTGAGATTATGTATTATCTGCACCATATATATATTAAAAAGCAACAGAGGGTCCTGTGGCACCTTTGAGACTAACAGAAGATTATATATATATTATATATATATTAGTATGCAAGACACACCAATAACATTAAGCACAAATATTATAACAGTGATATTACCTAAACTGGCCTATACCATAATCCTCTTCACTTATGTAAGTATCCCATAACACCTTGCATTAGCTGAAGTAAGCCTTGGCTTCAGTAAATAGGAAAACTGTTAGTATCTGGACATACAATTATTTCATCATAGCAGCAGGAAAGGAGTTACCCACACTAAAACCTAAGAGGTGTCTTTATGGCCCTTAGTACCTGGAATGCATACGGTCAGAACAAAAGATAAAAGGCTACACCATGGTACCAGAAACAAACAAGGTAGAAAGCTAATTAATTAAATCCAGTTTCAAATACTGTACATGGTACCTTTTGTGATGTCATTCCATATTCTTTATAAAAAGATGCTTATGATGTAACTATGACATAAGATATACTTTATGCAAGATGGCTCATGTGAGATATCATTGGAAAGGTTATGATTTACTGAATGTGATTATCCTATTTGTATGCATTAGTTTGTACAGAGTCAGGTGGTCTTGTTACCTGATGCTAAAACACTACCAGAGACTTCTTGTAACTTTCCACTGTAAGGGAAGGGGGGTCAAACTAGGAAACAAAGGACTCACGCTTTATGCAAATCCTATTTAAGGGTGGGGAGTGAGGTAACTGAGGTAGTCAGTTCTCCCCCGCTACCCAACCCGAGATGACTGCTGCAAACAACTAAAACTGAACTGGGGGAAAGAACTGGGCCCAGGCTGGAAGGGTGTCTGGCCTGTGAAGAATATTATTAGAACCACATTTAGGGTGAGAACTTACATGTAATCACAAAAAGAACAACTTACATGTAATCAGTTTCTTTAGTGTATTAAGCTTAGTTTGCGTGCTCTGTTATATTTTCTTAGTAATCTGCCTTGTTCTGTCTGCTACCACCTTAACTATTTAAAATATACCTGTTATAGTTAATACATTTATTTCTGGTTTATAATATAACCCAGTTTATGTGATTGCTATCCGGGGGGAGGGGAGGGAGGGGAAGGGAATTGTGCATACCCTCTTCCACATTGAGGGAAGAGGTGAATAGAATATATCTTTGGGTCTGTACTCCAAGGGAGGGGGACATCTGAGTGCTGGCGCAAGTCCCTTAAACTGAGTCTTCCCAGAGCTGATCTGCAGCTGGGTGTGGCCCTGCCCGTGTGTCTGTTAGAGGAGGTTTTAAGAGCCTGGCTCAGCAAGACAGGGTAAAGGGGGCCCATGGTGGCAGAACAGGTAGACTCAGTGGTATCTCAGCACATCAGGTGACTTCCCAAGGGGTCCAACCCGTCACACCTTTTACTGATCAACAATTTAGTGTATAAAAGGATTGCTTTAGAGGTGTAACTTTGGGGAGCACACCATAACATTGCTGCACAAGTCTGCTCTTTGGAGACTGGCATCATATAGAACCTTTTTCCTGTACTGTATTAATTAAGCCTGTCTGACGGTTATTTGGTCTCAAATATATTTCTTAACAAAATAACAAACCAAAGTGTGGTCAAGCAATTAACTGTACAGTTTATCAATGCCATTGAAATCAATGGAGATGTTGATTTGCACCAGTTCAGGATCTGGTCCAGTGTGTTCAAACCTTTTATATAGCAGGGGACTGTTGCATCAGTATTTGTTACTAGAGAATGAGGAATCAGAATATATTAGGTAAAAATTGTAAGCACCCAGAAGAGTGTAGACTGTACAGATTCTGTTACTTAGATCCTCACCTTCCCCCATCAGACATTTATTTCTCTTAAATTAAGTGTCTGTCTGGTTAATTATTGAAAAATACATGACCATTTTCACTACCAACCAGTAGCTTTCCATACATAAGGACGTATAATAAGCCACATTTTTCACACAAATGTATTTCAGGTTTCTCTGAAGCCATTGCTGACTTTTCATAATTCCTGTTCAGCTAGCGTGCCACAAAATGGAGCAGCTTATTCATTTTAATAGTGTGTTCATATTAACTATAAATGACCAGTATAGCCATTTTCTGCAAAATTAATCATGTTACCTGGCTGATGGACAATTTTCTCAACCTTGTGTTCCTCCTCTTCCTCCTCTTCCAGAAAGAATCCTCCCCCTGTGTCAATTATCTTTGGAGGTGCTTTAACTTTAGCACTTCCTGAAAAGACAAACAAGAGAAGTCAACATATTTAAAGGCTAAAAGAATTGCATGCATCAATGTAAATGCAAAATTATTTGCAAAACTAATTTACAAAATGTGGCCTTCACATCCAACATTCATGAGCTAGCATGGAGATCTTTCTGCTTTCAAAATACACTGTCAGTACAACTCCTAGATCTAGGAGACCAGGACATGCAGGGTACGTGGAGAATCATTCAACTCCAAGGGCAGATTTCTAACAGCTGAAGGGAATTCATTTGTTGTACAAAGGAAAATACACATGTATAGGTTGCACTATATCTGTTACTGCAGAGCAAGGAAAGCAACAAAAGAACCAAACTTGGTGGAAGACTGTTCTTGAAAGCTATACCTAAGGCTAAGATTATGGCATGAAGGTCACAATTTCTGTGACTTCCAGAGATCTGTGACATTTTCCGCTTCAGCCCTCCCCCGCAGCTCCCAGCCACCGGGGTCGGCGAAGGAACCCCGGAGCTCCAAGCCATCAAACCTGCAGCTCTGAGCCACCACAGGTGGCAGGGGTTCCTTGCAGCTGAGCCACCATGGACAGCAGTTGCTGGCAGGGTGGATTTGATTTAAATCACTAGTCAGGAAGACTCAATTTAATCATGGATTTCTACATAAAAGTGCATTCTTGTTGGTTGTTATAACCTTAATACATATTCTTCGCTACTCAGAGATAGATGTAGATTTCATTTTTAGAAGGTACACACTATACATTTTTGAAGTGATTTATTTTGAAAACTTTTCAGATTAGTTTTACAGCTATATCAGGAAATGAATGATTGTTTGGTTATTTCATTTTCCAAAGGTAATTGAAACAGATATTTATGAAGTCATTGGGAGGTGAATTATCTCCAGTTCAACAGGTTAATCATTAATATTTGGAGGATTTTCTTGCCATGCTGTATTAGGAGGAGATCACCACCAGACAGACATTTAAATTGTTTTATTTAACTAAAACAACAACGTGATGTATTCTGGATTTTTTTCTTCAAGAGCAAACATATAATATTTTAAAAAAACAAACATGAATTTTTGAATTTAGTTAAACATTCAAGTTTTTTAAAATCAGGATTGCTTTTGTAAAAATTGTTTTTAACTAAAATAGTTAAATGTGATATTTAAAAAAAAACACAAAAATTAAATCGACTATGTCAGCCAGGTCAACATGAGAAACTTAAAATATTGGCTTCTGCAGCTAACTCAGTCGTCTTCACCTTCATTTTCCTGTTTGTTCATAATCTGGAAAAGAAAAACAAGCTTTCTTACTTTTTCAGGTCCCAAATGATTTCTCAATTTGGAATGAATTAGTCCAAAGGAAGAAAATATTCTTTCTACACCAGCAGAAGAAGCTACTGCTGTTAAAAGTGAGATTATCACTTCAACAGTCTCTGAATCCAAGTGCTTAAGTGAATTCCGACAGTTCACTGGTGTCACTTTCTTTAAAACATCATCAGTAAACATATATTTCTTGAATGGTTCACCCTTAGCTCTGAAGTTTATTATAGTTGGCATTCTGGAGGGATGATTGCTGGATGTCCATGTCATAGCCAACTCCTCTTCTTCAGCAGTTCAGGTTTGACCCTGGTACCGAGCATTGAGAATATTTGCAAGAAAATGAGCTGAAGATAGTGCTTGTCCCATTCGTTTTTTTAATGCTTGTAATTTAACTCTGTCATTGCATATTTCTCTTTTTAAGATCTCACTCTGTTCCTTCCAAATTTCAACAGCATCAGCAATAAAACAGCTATTTCCCTGCATTTTGTTCAAGGCTACAGAAATAGGCTTCAGGGTACTCAGCATGCGTTCAACATTTCTCTTAAGCCCAATGTTGAGAATTTTGGCTGTGACGGTGCCATCTATTTTTTCACAATTTTGTTCACAAACTGTCATCACATTAGGCCAGTTCTTGATATACAGTCCACTACTGAGTTCCATCGCACGTCTTGTGGGAAAGTTAGCTTGGTTCCTCCCACTTTTTTCAGAGCAGCTGCTGCAAAGTGGTTGTTACGGAAGTATTTTGCAATTTCAACAACATTAGCCTTTATTTCTGAAACACTGAAGTCTTTGGCTAGGAGGTGCATCAAATGAGCACCGCAACCGTATGTTATTAGCTTGGGACTCTCTTTGAAATAGTCTTTTTATTATCTTGGATACATATGCAGTATCGTCTGTGACCAAGCTGTGTACTAGACATTTGAATTTTTGTTCACAGTTTGTTATAGCTGTTACTGCTTCTTCTTGTAAGTATTCTTGTAAGTGTGTACATTTCCTGATGTATCAATTGTTTCTGTAAGGAAGACATTCCCTTCTTCTGTTGTCACACAAGCACATACAACAGGATCATTGTGGACATTGCTCCACCCATCAAGACTCAGTTAACAATTTCACCGTCTAGACCTTTTGCACACTGCTCAATTTCTCTTTCATACACTTTATCCAGCAATTTGCCTGTGACATCTGCTCTGTTGGATGGACGGTGTCCTGGTCTTAATGACTGAACCACGTTAATGAAGTGTGGGTTCTCAATCATACAGAAAGGAAAGTTTGTTGCATAAACAAACCGGGTAATTTTTTCATCAATTACATCTTTTTGTAATCTGCTGGTTCTTATCACAAACTTATCTATGGTTGTTTTTGGATGATGGAGATTTTTTTTTCTTTTTGCTACAGGTGATATACTGTGGCTATGTGACATACGTGATGTGACTGAAACACTATCATTGGCAGATAACTCTGGAACTATAGAAAATGATGGTGATCTTGAAGGTGGATAGTCTTCAGAATCCTGTATATTGAGGATGGATTCTCCTAAACAAAATAAGTCAATGCAGTTATTTAATTATTACCACCATACTACTCATTTAATATTGCTCATTGCATTCACTGAAACTCAGCACTACTTTAAAGGTGACATTATAAAAGGAAGTTCTGCCTATTTCAGCTACTTATTTTTTATCACAACTGCATCTGAAATGATAGTACCATAGAGTAACAACTATATTTTTGCTCAAACATAAGAATTCAAGAATAGTCCAGAAGGAAGACAGGCAGTCCTTAAGAAAGAAATATGAAATTAAAAAAAAGTTTACCAACCTGAAGATCCTGCATGTTCAGACATGTTCCTTTCATCATCTTTAACGCAGCTTCCTCCTGAGAAGGAACACTTCTCATGATGGTATTTCATTCGGGCAACCAGGCCTTGTATTTCTTTGTTGCACTGTTTGCATTTTGCACATATGCCTGTCTTACCCACCAGAGGAACTTCATTCAAATATTCCCAAACTGGGTCTCTTTTACAGCCTGCTACCATTACAGATTTTCCCTTCTAGTGAGAGAATGGTATGGAAGATCTCAAACCTCAAGACTTATGGAATATGCTGCTCAAACAGTTTCACTTTTGTTTCTACTGCCTGGCCCTCCCTTCTCACATTTATCCCCAGACTTCTTTTCCTTGTCCAGATCTATTCTGCCCCCAACAATCTTCTATTCATTGAACTTTTTGAAACTTTGCACTTTTAGAGAGAGGTAAGGGATTGACTCTGTGTACACAAATTTGCAGAGGGACAATACAGTTGAGGTCTGTTATTTCTCACCTCTATATATTATTTATTTATTTAAAAACATTTTTGCTGTTAACAAGCATATTATCTCTGGAGACACAAATCCACAGTTTAAGAACTGCAAAACTAAGCATCTCTGATGGTATCTTTTAGACTGAGCACTGAGTCCAATTGGGTAGATAGAAAGATGAACCTAAATAATCTATACAGAAGCCCCTGGAACCCCATAAAATTGAGTCCCTAATCCATGAACTATTGGAACTCATTTACAAAACTTTTCTTAAACATTACGTGAATATATTGTCTCATTCTAATTCTATAGTATTTATAATCCCTATTCCACGATGAGATATCTTTGAGCTATAATGTATCTTAATTAAAACTATCTTTATATAGGTTTTTTCCTCAAAAAGCATTTTATCAAAAAAATCCGATTTAAATTAAAAAAATCTGATTTTTTTTTTAAATCATTGATTTTTATCCACCCTGGTTGCTGGACCTCCCTCTTCCCTCCTGCAGCTGGGCTAGGGCTCTCATACCCCATCAGCCCCATTTTGTCACGGTTATTTTTAGTAAAAGTCAGGGACAGGTCAAGGGCTTCTGTGAATTTTTGTTTACTGCCCGTGACCAGTCCCTGACTTTTACTAAAAATAATCGTGACAAAATCTTAACCTTAGCTATACCTAATGCCTGTGACGCATGGGTCCAGAGATTATAAAACGCATGCTTTACCTAAATTAAATGAAACAAACAGAGAGGTGTGTGTTAGAAAGCAGAAATCTAACAAAGCACTTTTCTATACTTGGGAGCCAGAGTGCAAAAGCTTTAGAAAAAGGTGAAGCTGAAAAGCCTTTTGAAAGAAGTCAATTCTACAGCAAAATAAATGCACGTTGAACTATGTGATCATATAAGAAGATTTAACATTTGCCAGATGGACTTTTCCTATTTGTCAGCTATATAACAGAAAACTCATGAAGTTCATAAAGCACAAGTTGCCACAACAAATGAATGTTTGGGCTTTTTAAAAAACAAATGAACAAAAAACAAAAAACCAACAAACTGGACACCTTTGTTCTCCAAAACATTTTAAGTTAGTGTAAATTATGCCTGTAAATTCTTGTTGTATTCTATGATCCAAATAAAAAGATAATGCTACTTTTAAAAATATATATTAAATGACATGGTAAACTCATATTTCTGAAGTATTTTCACAAATGGGAAAAAACAGATTACGAAAGGTTCATAGAATGAGTATGAATAACACTGGTCTACAATTTTTGAGAAGTCGTCTGCTTCAGAGATAAAATGTGCTCTTTATTATATATTTTGATGTGCTGAATTCAAATATGACAATTAAAACAACTGATTGGCTACTGTTTCTAAGATATTTAAGTTTTTACATTGTATGCCTATGTATATTGTATAGATAGTAGAGTTTTAATCATAAATTGTAAACCTAGGTCTTTTCATGCGTTTAT